ATATATGTATATATGTATATATGTATATATATATATATATATATATATATATATATATATATATATATGTATATATGTATATATGTATATATGTATATATGTATATATGTATATATACATATATACATATATACATATATACATATATACATATATACATATATACATATATACATATATACATATATATATATATATATATATATATATATATATATATATATATATATATATATATATATATATATGTATATATATATATATATGTATATATATATGTAATATATATATATATATATATATATATATATATATATATATATATATATATATATATATATATATATATATATATATATATATGTATATATGTATATATATTAATAATATATATGTATATATATATATATATATATATATATATATATATATATATATATATATAAATATATATATATATATATATAATATATATATATATATATATAATATATATATATATATAATATATATATATATATATATATATATATATATATATATATATATATATATATATATATATATATATTATATATATATATAAATATATATATATATATATATTTATATATATATATATATTATATATATATATATATATATTATATATATATATATATATATTATATATATATATATATATATATATATATATATATATATATATATATATATATATATATATATATATATATATATATATATATATATATATATATATATATATATGAATATATATGTATATATATTAATAAATATATATGTATATATATATATATATATATATATATATATATATATATATATATATATATATATATATATATATAAATATATATATATATATATATATATATATATATATATATATATATATATATATAAAAATATATATATAAATATATATATATATATATATATATAAATATATATATATATATATATATATATATATATATATATATATATATATATATATATATATATATATATATATATTATATATATATGAACATACATGCTTACCTACCTATGTACATATATACAAACATACATATATATGTATATATATATATATATATATATATATATATATATATATATATATATATATATATATATATATATATGTATATATACATTAAATGTGAAATTCTTCAAAGTAGTAATAAACATTTATATTGGTAAACTAGAGGAAAATGGAAAGTTCTTATAGTTTTTTTGTCAGCTAGCTTTATATCAGAGAAAACCTTTTTTTTTTCCAGGGAAACATATGTTCCCTCGTGAGTGGCTTACTGACGGGCAGCCTAAAGGTAATCAAGTGACTGAAGATGTTGATGGTTTTCTAGGACGAGAGAGTCAGGATGCCAAACACGAGCACAAGTACGAAAAGTCCTTTTTTTCCAGTTAATTGCTATTGTTTATCATTACTGTTATGGTTATTATTTTTTTTGCTATTGCTTTGATTTTATTATAATACTATTTTTTCTGTATTTGGGCAGTAATTATTTAAATAATGGATTCAACTACAGTTAAGATTCTTGAAGGTAATACAGTAAGTCCCCTACTTATGAACATTCTACTTATGAACATTCCATACATATGAACAAATTTTTAAAAATACTTAAGTCCAAAAAATTGTTTGAAAGATGCTAGCAAACTTAAAATTTCCCAGGCATGAATATAGTTCACAAGTCTGCCACACCAGCTGTGCGCATCACTTGCCTCAGTCTCCTGCCCTCCTGCCATAAACATGAAAGCATCTGTTCACTGTGTCCTCGTGTACCGCCAATTTTTGTGCCATAATTCGCTTTACCTGTGCATCAATCCATCAAAAATACTTATTGGGATTTATGTACAGGTATTCTTAACCCATTGCCGCCGGGGATATTGAACAAAAAATGGGGGAAATACAGTACTCATTTTTATATTTTTGTGAAATATGTCTGTCCATAGATGGCTCTGCTAGTCCTGATTTCACCTTTCCTTGAATTGGCGGGAAACGTATTCTTACTAGTGCTATAAATATAGATGGTGTTATTTTTAACAGCAAATTAGAATAACGTTAAATATTTTCGTAAATCGGTGAAAAGGGTAAACTGGCGAGACAGGTGGTGCTCGTAATTGGCTCATTGGATACCTAGTACAAGTGTAGCCATCTTTGTGTAAAAACAATCGCCCAAGTTGGCTCACAGTGGGCATGGCATGTACGTACATGCCATCCCCGGCGGCAATGGGTTAATGTAAACAAAAATTTAGATGAACAACCTCTTGGTCCCCATTATGTTTGTAAGTTGGGGACTTTCTGTATGTCAAAAATTTTCACAGCTGTTGTAAGTTGGAGAAGGTTGATTCTAAGGACAAAGCCTGTCAAACTAACTACGAGGATCACTTTGAGAACATCATGGCAGTGTCAGCTCAACACAGTATGATGCTGGACGACAACTTTACCCTTTATGGCCCATACCAAGCCTTGGCCTGCATGCAAGTTATGTTCTCTTTGGGCGAAACAATTTACGAAGCCACAAATAAAGATATGAAGAGGCAAACAGACCTAGACACATTACAAAAGGAATATTCTAAAAAGAAGGTAAAGAGGGTTGATAGTATTTAAAGGGGAAGGGAGGAGAGGTGTTTTATATATTGTTTTGTTGCTCCATTTGAGGGGAAAATGTGAATAAGATACGTAGCTCTGCTGAGTTACACAAGTATATTCAGGAGGAGTGTACAACACTAATGTCTATATTAGGATTATGTATGCATGCAATATATGTAGAGGGATACATTACTAATATTATAATATAAAATAGATAGGACACATAGATATGATTAAGATAATTATGGTTGATTATATGACAAGAGGGAAAGGAACGAGTATGGATATAAGATATAAGGAGGGGCTAAGAAAAGATGGTGCAAAATACTATTCAGCCATACTTATTCATTTACTTTTATATTCTGAAATAATCCTATGTTTTCACTTGAGGTATTTGCAAGCCCACTACCATTACAAATACACAGTTCACATATATAAAACCGTGACTCTTATCTGAACCAAATATAAAACCAAATGACTATAAACAGGACAACCACAAAGTCATTTAGTCTACAGTGACTCTTATCTGAACCAAATATAAAACCAAATGACTCTAAACAGGACAACCACAAAGTCATTTAGTCTACAGTGACTCTTATCTGAACCAAATATAAAACCAAATGACTATAAACAGGACAACCACAAAGTCATTTAGTCTACAGTGACTCTTATCTGAACCAAATATAAAACCAAATGACTATAAACAGGACAACCACAAAGTCATTTAGTCTACAGTGACTCTTATCTGAACCAAATATAAAACCAAAGGACAATAAACAGGACAGCCACATAGTCATTTAGTCTACAGATAGTGAGTAGGAAAGATATGTGCTTGCAGATGTGGGTTCTGATGAATAGATTTCTGCTGACGGTCATATAGAAAGGGAAAAAATGTAGGTGGTACCATATCTTCTATATTTATTGCATTTGGTTTGCTAATCTTTTCCACACCATTATTTTACAGAATCTGAACAAATTACTTGGACTCCTGCAGCATATTTTGATTCCTAGGGCAGAACAAGATTGCCAGGTCAGTATGAAAACAGATTAGTTTCTCAAGATGAAAAGTTGTAATAGTTTCTTTTGCTGTAAAAATGGAATGGTTTATTTGAATGAAATGGTGTGATTAATTTTCCATGATGTTTTCAATGTAGGAATTAGAGTTTGATCATTTCAATGTGCTGATCTTGATACTATGGCATAGTCATTTTCTTTTCCTGAAGTGGAAAAAATCTTCTATTTTTGTGTTTGACTGAAGTGGGAAAAAATGTTTTCTTTCCATTCTTTGAGTGAAATGATATGGCATTTCTGTCTTGCAGAGCTTCTGTTAATAATTGATTTGTGTTGATAGGTGTAGCCTAAAGTAGGAGTAAGAATTTGTAATTTTTTCAGTGATGTGCTGATTATGATATTGTGACTTTCATGTATAGTCTCTGGGTGGAGTGCAAAAAAAAATAAAATTACAATTATTTTATTCATTCAGTTATGCAGCAAGATCTTTTATGTATAGCATTCCCATTCATCTTATACTATAAGCCATTTCTTTATGCCTGATTTTGTTTTGCTATCTATATGAAAGAATTTTACATTGTAATTTGGTGATTATGTATTTTTTTAAGTCATGATATTCTTTTCTTCTTTTCTATCAGCAGATGTAATAAAGGATTAATCTGGATTCCTTAGAAAATTGAGCAAGATGTTACAACTTATAGCATGCACTTCTCATAATATATATGCTATGAAATATGTTTGAGATAAATTAATTTGATTTGCATTGTCTTTGGCTGTTTTGCCTTGCATATTTCATATAAATGCCATTAAAGTTAATTTAAATATTCATTATATTTTCTTAACCAGACAGGTTTTCACTTCAATGTGGCTGACCTTTCAAAGATAGTTGATGAAGTACATGAGATTTACCACAGGCTCCTTTGAAGTGTGCTTTGAATTTTATGAAGCAGGTCACCTCTGTTAGAAAAGAGCACCACACTGCTTCACACCACCAGACTTTAAAGTGTACAAATACCCACATGACAAGTAGTTTATCATTTCTATCATTTCAATGTTTAATCCATATGATGTTGCATAGTGTAGGGAGGGAGATGAGGGTATGTGAAAGCTCTCTTCTCTCTTAACTACTTGTAAAATTTAAAGCACACCTTAACTGACCTGTGGTAAGTCTCACATACTTCATCAATTTTACTCCAGCAAATCACTTCTCTGCAAGAGTTTGCTTTCCCATGAGGTTTTGAAACTATGTGGTTGATGTACTGGATATCTTAAAATTACATATATGTGAATCTGGTGAAATACAACCCTGTTTTAAAAAGCCTGTTTTATAAGAAATTTATAAAGTTCAATATTTACCCAAAGAATTATGACTTTCTTATCACAATGAGAACCTCATTATTCTAGTACAGCCTCCTGGAATATGTCAAGTTTTAGAACCATCTTGTCATAATACTTGGCTAATGGGTTATCCTTGACCATCTAGCGACAGTGGATCTGGCCAAATGCTGTCAACTGAGTACTTTCCTATATTCACTCCTGACATATTAAGCATTGTCTTAATCCATCTCATAACATTGTCTTTTGCTTTATTTCTGTGTGGCTTTAAAATGCTGACAATAAGTTCCAGTTCTCCTGATCGGCATTATTTTAAGTTTTCAGGCTTTTCAATGCACATTTTCAGTGCTTCATACACAGTCTTTTCTTTTGTGTACACTTTAGACTCCACAAAATGCGCATTGAATTTTGGCGTGGAAAGCCTAATATATCCCTCTAACCAAACAGAAATCGAATCTGTGCCAATGCTAGCGTTCTTTAGCAACAAAAAATGTAATTTTTGTTCTCTGGCTGGTTGTGTGAGTGCCATTAGCATCACTGATTTTAATGTTAGTTCTTTTAGGGAATGACTGCATTAAAATACAAAGCTCTTCTGTAACCTCATTGGGAAGACAGGCAAACTGATAGATTTTTACTTGCCATTTAAATTGAGGAAATTTTTGTTGTTCTACAGCTATTTTGACAGAGTAGCAAGCAAGCTTAACCCACTGAAGATGGAAAATGGACCATTTCCAGGTATGTCATATGTGGGATGCTATTGTTCCCAGCTGTCTACCAGATGTCTTGTGTGAAATGTAATGCATGGACTTCAGTGACATTTATTATGTCTACATGAATATTTCCAAGACTATTGCACTCATAACCACTAGTTATGTCATATGATCAAATAAAGATGTGGAGTTATTATTACTTCAGTTTACCTGGATATTGAAGTTATATAAGGATGGAGGGAGTAGGGGAATTATGAGGAGAAAGAGAGGGAAAGAGAGACAGAAAATCAAAATGAAAATGAAAACAAAAGCTGAGACTAGATAGCAAGGAAGGGAGAGTGATAGAAATATATATATAGAGTGTGTGTGTGTGTGTGTGTGTGTGTGTGTGTGTGTGTGTGTGTGTGTGTGTGTGTGTGTGTGTGTGTGTGTGTGTGTGTGTGTGTGTGTATGTGTGTGTGTGTGTGTGTGTGAAGAGTAAATATGGTACCTGTAATAATGACATCATGTCCTTATCTTCATGACCTTTGTGGGTGAGGGAAAGGCCTCAGACTGGTGTACACCAGGGTGTGTACACCAGTCAGAGGATGTTTCCCACCCACAGTAAGCAGGCATGTGTGCACCTGGCTAACCATGGTCAGTTGTTCTACTTTAACTTTGTATATTTCCCATGTTCCATGTACCATTCATTTTTGCAGCAGCACAGTCGCGCCGTCACTAAGACACCTGAAAGCAGGAAATGTTGCGTTTGCTCAGGACAGGGTTGATGGAGGAGAACCAGGACGTTTTGTCCTGACTGTAATGTCTGCCTTTATACTTATGGCTGTTTTGAGGTGTGGCATGCTTCCGTGATGGCAGCCATCACAAATATAAAGAAATTTATCAGTACCATTAAATAAAGGACTATCATCAATTTTCTTCAAATTTAGATAATTTGTGTATTTTAGAATTCTGCACCTTTTGGTACCAAATTTGTATGAATTCCCCGTGGGCTTGGTTTCCTAAAAAATAATTATTTGTAAAGAAGGCCCAAAAAGAGAGACCCAAATTAAAAGGAAAACATCAATCTCAGTGCATTTTCATAAGGAATAAAATATCAAAATTTAGATACGATAAGAACTAGTAAAATGAAGACGAAAATTGTGAATATTTCAGTTATTTTTCTGTCAGCATCCTTCAATAGAACTTTCTGAACTAATTACCTAAGAAACTATATTGATTTTCCTTTAAAACACCGTAAATTGCTTAAAAAAAAATACTGATTGGTTCTTGAGTTAAGACAAAAATAACAGTTACTCCCTGTGAAAAGGATCAAAATCTTAATGTTGGCAACCCAGCCTATCCATAAATGCCGCTGTTGTCTCATACCCCTAGTGTTTTCCAGCATGTACATTCTCGCCAAAAAAAATGTCTGTACTCTTTCTGACTTAACAGTATGATATGACAACGAAAATGGATTGAAAAAGTACTGTGAGCTTGACCTGATATCGATATCCCTGAGAGGGAGGAGGGGGTATTTGTCACTCCCCTCCAAGGCCCTCAGTTAACTTTCAAACTTTTTCTATCAATTACACTTATATAGATCTGGTTATAGCTTATAAAATGCCCCTAGAATAATTCATTTTTCTAAATTTTTGTTCTTTTAGCTCGGCTACATTTAAAAGTTAGGGTTTGAAAATACCCAATACTATTAATATTCATGTTAGTGACACCAGCTTGGCGAACAATAGCAAGAATACTTGACATAAATGCCCCTAATGCCACTGTTAACTGGCATCTGTCTGCAGAGCGCAATTGCTCCCGTGCCATAATTGCTTGGGCAACGACAATATGACATTTGCGGGTATGATCTTGGGAAGAGTGTCTGCTCATGGCTGTCCAAGTATTCTCAATGAGACTATGATCTGGCGATTTGGGTGGATGTGCCTTAGCATAATCTCGGGATGCTGCCAAAATCATGTGTTCATGACATTGCTCATGTGGATAGGGCTGTTATCGAGGTAAAATGGCTTGATGAAGAACATGGCCCTCAATGATGGTAGAAACATCTCGTCCACATAGGCATACCCCATAAATCTGGCCTGACATTTCTCAGCTCCCTGACTCTGCTGCTGTGCATCCACTCCAACTGCCCATCGATTTCTGACAGTCTGCGTTCTGTACCCAGCAGAACAAAAGGGGTTTGCATCCCTTGTAGTAGCTGTGGATTGGTAAAATGGTAGTAATGAGAGTAAATAACTAAAAAGAAAATGGCTCACAGTAAGGAACATGGCAACTAACTACCTACCATGCCCCCTTTTTGAACCCAGTAAGGGGTGTTGCCACTGATTATCAAATGGTTTTCATTAATTTATGATACACTTCAATGAAAGCTTCCTATTTGTCTTTCTTAGTGCACATTGAATTGTAGTTTAATGACATTTACTTGATCCACACATCAAAATCTTTGCAGTGCAAGTGTTTCTTCTTTCACTCAGAAGCTGCACAGAAGTCCAGTATGCACTTCCATGACAAAGGTAACTCCTATGTGAATATGTCCATGCTTTTCCCATGCACCATCAATGAAATAAGCATGTCTAGAATTTGCTTCTCACCAGGCATGATCAAAAGCTCATGCATGTAAAAACTGCAGATCTTTTGCAAATGAAATCTATGCTGTTTATGTAAAATTTGTCCATTTTACAGTACAAACAATGCATGTAATTATCATAAGCATGTGTGGACATTGACTGAATGCCAGTGAGTCTTGCACTTCTGTTTAGTCCAGCCAGACCATCACTGTTTACCAAACTTACATATATGTGCTGAGCGTTCATAGATGTTCCTTGTAGTACCTATGACAAGTGAGAAGCTAGGTATGTGGCATGTGATACGGTAGTTTGGTAATCATTGCATGTGACTGTTACTGAGGCATTGTATGATGTGAAGTCTGAGCTTGCAGTTGCAGTACCTCCACACTGTGGATGTGCTAAGTTGAAAAGCAGATCTGTTATCATTGAGCTAGTAATTGCATCATGTTCGCATCAATAGTATTCGTGGGTTCGTCACCTGAATCAAATAGGATGTGGCACTTTGCAATGTGTCTTATTTCTGCCGTATCTGCACTAACTAAACTTGGAGTCGGAGAAGCTGCATCTGATGCTGCTTTGGAAGGGGGTTCATCTGAGGGTGAATCTATGTCATTGCTCAGGTATAAATGAAAATTAGAGCATACTGAGAGAGAACTCGGAGTACTAACAATAACGGGGAGAGGAGCTGCGTGATGTGCCTAGTAACAGCTCTGAAGAAGTGGGCATGGCCGGGGAGTGGGGGGGGGTGGGGGAGTTGTATGAGGTACTGAGGGAGTGTTCAGATTTAGTTGGTAGTGTCAATATGCAATGTCTCTTTTTTGTGCTCTTATGTCATACATGCTTAAGGATGAGAGTAGCTGATTGGCGGATGACGGGTGTGTGATTACGCCCATATTTTAACTGCCCAAATTTTTGCTGTTGGACTTAATAATTGGATGGGTAATTCTCCATTTGTATATCTATCAGGAAATGATTATAACTAATATTCAATCTCTGCAGCCCGAACCCCACAACTCCCACTTAGCCCACTTAGTCATTATATATATCAGTATTCCCTATTGTATTTTTTTTATTTATTATTATTATTTTTTCCCTCAAGTATTATCAGCTTTTTATTACAGTTCTTATTTATTTTTTTGTCTTTCTCTGCCCTTAGAATTGATAAGAATGGAAGGAGAACGAAGTGATATCAGATAACTCAATTTTGTTTTTTGTTTAATTCTTTCCATGAATTGTTTGGTCTAAGTTAGTGTGTCTGTTATTATATTTTCTTTCAAGTTTGCTTTTATTATTATTATCATTATCATTGTTGGTATTAGCATCATTAACCCCTTGCCGATGGGGATGGCATGTACGTACATGCCATGCCCACTGTGAGTCGACTTGTTCGATTGTTTTTACACATAGATGGCTAAACTCGTACTAAGTCACCAGTGAGCCAATTACGAGTACTGCCTGTCTCGCCCGTTCACTCTTTTCATCGGCTTACAAAAATATTTAATGTTTTCCTAATTTGCTGTTAAAAATAAACCTAAGTATATTTATAGCACTTGTAAGAATAAGTTTTTTCCCGCCAATTCAAGGAAAGGTGAAATCAGGACTGGCAGAGCCATCTATGTACAGAGATATTTCACAAAAATATAAAAAATGAGTACAGCATTTTCCCCGGCGGCAGTGGGTTAATATTGTTATTGTTATCATTATCATTATTATTATTGTTGTTGCTGTAGTTATCATTATAATATTATGATCATTGTTATTATTATCATTATAATTATTATAATTATAAATCAGAAAGAGCAATGTTTAGGCATTCTTTTGGTCTATAGGCACAGACAAGTAGGGAGCCAAAAAAAATAGAAAAAAAATAAAAGTTTTATATAAACTTTCAAGGTCACTTACTGACATTTTTTTCTTTTTTGACACGTGGGTAAATCTCCATTTTGTGTACACATGCATGTGGGGGGGGGGGGGGTTGGAAGCTGGTAAGTGTAGAGAATGGTTGAAAGCAGGAGATAAGGTGATACATAACTGTCTGTGTGTGCATGTTTGTGTCTGTATGCATGGGTTTGTGAGTAAACATGCATATTTATGTGAATGCACTGACAGCTTAAGGCAGGCAAATGACTTCAGATGTGTGTTAAATGTAGAAAGACCAATGTCTGGACTTCCTTTTGGTCTATGGGGGCAGACAATAAGCGTGTGGATATTTGTAAGACTGGTTTTTGATTTTTTAACAAAAAAGCAATAATCATTTTATTCTGGGATGGTACCTTTTAATAAGTCTCTGTAGACCCTACAGGAGTGAGTAGCATCCCATCTTAGTATCATGAACATATTCAAAACTGTAATGTTGCTTTTGCTAAGGTTCTTTTATCAGCTGGTTTAGTCAACACAAACTAAATAAAGTAAGTGAAGTTTGCCTCATATAATAAGGAAATGAAGTGGATAAAGTAATGGAATATGCAGTATACAGTTATGTATCCAGTAAATCAACTTCTATTTCATGTTGAATAGTTCACAAATAAGTTATGGATGATACTCAATACTCTATGGGAGAAGATTCTCCCACAGCATTTAACAAGACTCAAACTAGTTTCCATGTCCATTGTCTTTTCCTGGTAGTGAATCTCCTTTTTTATTATAAAATCTATTTTTCTGAATGAATGGTGATAATAATAATAATCAGCCTTTGTCCATGTGTTTTGTACATTTTCACATCTCACAATTCCTTCTAGTTTCAAATATGGAAACTAATACAGGTAATCTTGCATAAAACCTATAGAGACAAACTGTTTTTGACCAGTGGTTAGCAAACAGTAAGTTTCAATGCTCTTATGTTTATTAATCATATTCCCACTTGGGTAGTAAAAGTGGTGATTAATTTGTATGATTTTATTGATATAAAACTGGTATTGTACAGGTATTCTCCAGCACGTACTTTAATTGAGGAGAAAAATGTCCCCCTTGTTCAACCATGCAATAAAGACAATGCTCATCTTCACATGCCTTACTAATCCTAGTAAGACATGAACATCATTATCATAAAGTTGTATCAGTCACTTATAATTCTGAAATATTTTTAAAAGGTTATTTATTTTCACTAAATCCCAGTAAACAGCTATTATTCTGAGCACAACAGGAGATAATCTATGTGAATTTGAAAATCCAAGTTAAGCAATTTTATATCTACTGTATGATCCACTGAATCAAATTATCATGAAATACTGCTAATATTTAGGATTGCTAGACATTTCTACTATGTTTTAAAGCAAAATACCAACAGACGAGTCAGTAATAGAACCGCTGACAAAGCCTCTAGTGCTTAAATGTGCTTGATGCTCTTTTAACTCCTCTTTATTGAATCTCTTGCAAGAAGACATCAAAAACTCACCTACACCCATTAAGCTTTTGGCAAAATTTGTTTTTAGAACTTCATCCCTTTTCGCAAATTCAAATTATCAATGTAACACTGAGTACCAATGTCTGGTTTCCTTGGAGTGTGATATGTTATCAAAACTGCACCTCTCCAATAACTGTTTTCACAGAGTTATCCTTGAGATATTCTTCAAACTTCAACCTATAATCTTAGTTACCTTTCTCTGAACACAGGATAAACAATTGAACACAATAAATGGTTTTCATATCTACAAGAATTGAGTAAAAAAGATATAAATATATAAAATAATTCTTTAACTAGAGCGATGTGTATGAATTTATACACAAAAAAACTATTGAATATAAATTCTGAATAAACTTCATGTAGTGCAACATAAATCAGTAACTTTCAAAAATATTAATGCATAAGAAAAGTTTATTCTCTGAAGCTTCCTCTTGCTAGTAATGAAAAAAATGAACTTCACCTTTGATAGCCTCAATACCTACATTTCTTTCAGGCACTCAAGAATGGGTGTCACTAACAGCTACTTGGTAATACATTGTACAGTGCAAAGAGCAAAGTACATAGGTAGTAAAAATAAGGACTTACCCTTACATCCAGGACATTAATAATATTAGAATTACCGGTAATGACTATAGCATTATGCGTGAAGGTCTTACTGGGAAAAGTTGCGCTCAAAAGGCCAGTAAGTTCAATACTGTTGCTTATACAATATACACAGCAAAGCCTAAAGTAACTCCATTCTATATACATTCCTGTCCCACCTTTTGCCACTGATCAACTTAAAAAACCTTGCATTGCTAATCAGTTATTTTTTGTACAGCATTTGTCCATTCTCATTTTACAAGCACAGAAAAATTCATATCAGTGTGTGAAGGGTGTGCAGTGCAGTTTGTGTCTCATTTCTATACATTTTCTCTTATATAAAAATACTTGGTAATCATAAGCTGAACCCCATATATGGCCATATCTATAATCACTCATTCATTACGCACCAAAAGAACCTCCAGTAATAGTTTGATATCTGAATTGTAATATACCCAAACTAATTTAGTTGTCAACTCTTCTTTTTGTTCTTTTATCACAAGCAGTCATTACATAAATTCCCTTTAAAATGTAAGTAATATATAACAAGAAATCATGCAAGATCCTAAAGCAATATCTACACAAGACAAAAAGCTTCAGGGAAAAATGTCTCCAACTTCAGAGACATTTACATCAAAAATGTAAAAATGTACTAAACTTAGGAATAATCAACTATATATAATATATATAGTTATTAATAAAGGAATATACAAGTTATACAAATCCATCCATAAAGAAATTTATATTGTTAACCCCTCAGGCCAAAGGTGTGAACATGCTTTTTTTTATTTTTAGGATGTTTGAAAAAAAAGTTAACCAACCTAAAAGCAAGTGGAGTATGAACAGCCTGAAGCGTCTGGTAGTTGGAGAAGAGACTGGCTTTGACAAAGTTTGGATGGAAATAAGAGGGGTAACTGGGGAGCATTAGTAACTCTATAACTACAATTTGTTAAATATCCTGTCTGTGGGAGCAGTCAGATTTACCAATATTCTGCCTTGAAGGGTTAAGCTATTGCCTTTCATTATCAGAAAAAAATGTGCAGACTCAGTCCCTACCTGGTAATTTGCAGGAAAATGTCCATTTCAACCTGGACTGAAATAATATCATTTTGCAAAGTACAATTGAGATTCCCCAAGTTGAATATACCACATTAAAAATGTACACCAGTCTATCATCCTTGAATGGAAATAGAATGAGTTTACATATGGCTAGATTTTAATATATTTAATAATTGTGACTTACAAAAAAATAGTAATAAATAAATAAAATGGAAAAAAGGGAAAATAAAAAAATCAACTTAAAGAGATTTTTACTAGCTCTGAATGAGATTATCTACATGGCTTCTAAGCAGATATTTTGTGTAACTGGGACTATATGTATGGTAACTGTAGACCTATTCTAACAGAAGATTAATAAAGTTTCCTCCTGCATTTTCCCCACTTGGAAATAATTTCACTTTGGGATTTAATATATTGTGTATATACATAATATGAAAAAAACTAAAATAGTTTATAATGCACAGCCAATTGTAACCTCATTTGGAATTGAACTAGTCAAGCTAGTCCCCGTGAAAATAAACATTATCCAACTGAGAAAAATCAGCAAAATATCTGCTTTACTACATGGCATAAACTTAACTTGTAAAGTCCAGATTAACCTAATTATTGCAAAATGAAAAGGGGTAAAAGGTGAGGTTACATAATCAACAGAGGAACTAACAGTGTCTCCTGACTAGAGATACAGATTTGAATAAATTTTCAAGGATAGTTTTGCATATACATCTCATTTATGAACCACTGTACCTTATTGTCTTTCAAATTAAACAGTACATATTGGCCATATATGAATGTTCAACACAGCACAACAATTACCCCTTTCTCCCGGTGGTTCTCACATTTAGACATAAAAATGTCTTCACCAAGCTTTCCCCTCCTCACTTAATCAGACAATTTCCGACAGTTCCGAAAAAGCCAAATATCTTTAAAATAATATATACAAAAGTGTGTATCTCTAGAGGAAAAGTAGAGTACTTTTTTGAGGGGGAGGGGGGGTTGGGGGTAAGGACAAGCATCCACTCTTAATAAATCCTCCAGCAAAGCCTTGCAAGAAGTCTATTCTCACAGCAGAGCAATACTGCATGATGCTCCTACTCTCCCTTGCAGAACTGATTCTGATTACAAGTTTCCTGGATGTCAATGTAGCCCTAGCGCAAGTGGTCCGGTCGTTGGTATGTCTGGTTAGCCAGGCTCTGGTGGATAGGTGGCTGGAAGCATCGCACGTGTTCCACTGGGAGGTTATCAGGGTCACTTGTCTTCAGGTATTTGTTCAAAACGGCGAAGATTTGAGAGTTAAGCACCTGGAACCGCCGGATGCGATCACACATCCTCTTCAATTGCTGAATGGGAAGGAAAAGGATACTTATAAATGTCTTCTTCTTACAGCAGAAATAAAGAAATACAGACAAACATACACTCACTCTCACTCTCTCTTCTATGGTTATGGCCACCAGTAAAAATGGGTAAAACCACTCACAATGCTGAAGATGGTATCCCCACACTAGGAAATGTATTGTAATGCAGAGTTCGGAGTTGTAGAAACAGGTTATGTAATCATTAAGTGATCTTGCCCTTTAACTCTTGACATGAGCAGCACTTTTATCTATGCTGGGTCTCTTCATGTGCCCTTAGGCCTGGTCTTGCACCTTAGATTTTGCTTCCTGATATTATCGTTTCCCTGTGAAACTTTCCTCTTCACTTGGTGTTATGCATTAGTATTTTCCAAACAAGACTCAAGGTATGTGGTATGTATGTGGCTGGACCACACAACTGCTGCCTAAGCCAAGCCATTCTAAGACCTCACCCAATTCCCCAACCTAACAACTGCAGCTACACACTAGCTAGTGTACTGTTTGGAATGGAGAATAAAGGACATATTGTTATGCGATCTCACCCCTGTCTTCAACTCACTCACTCTCTCTCTCTCTTTTGTTCTTCAGAAAATTTACACTAGTTCTGATAAGTACGTAAGTAAAATAAATAACAATAATAAAAACACCACCCCAAACTACTCACAATTCCTTTAACAGCCTCGTCCTTTCCGTCCACCTTTTGCACCCGGAGGACATGGTAACAAAAGTCAAGTGCCTCGAACCTCCGCTGCTGCCCCAGAAGGACAATCATACAGCAGCCAGCCCAGTTGAGCCCCTCACCGAAGAGTTGTCTATTGAAGATAATGAAAATTTTTAGTCAGGCTCAGATGTTCCTCAACCTAAAGTGGTGAGGATGAATGTGTTTGTATAATAGTGTTAAAATGTGAATGCAGAATAGTATTCATGCGTGTTCTGTGGTTGTATTAATATATGCTCAATAGTTGTGTATTTATATGATCAAATTAAACAGTAAAAATACATCTATTAATAGCATTAGCATTAGAATTAGAAATTAAAATATCCTATCTATTAAATCACATAACAAGGCTCTACAGGTACATATAATTCTGTTTTACTGCCCATATATGTAATTCTTTATTTGTCTATATTTGTCACTTGATTTGATTCATCAAGATGATAATAGACTGTTTTCATTGCACAGACTCCGTATCATCATATCTGTAGGTAGTCCATAACTGGGTGAAATAACAGTAACATTTATTTACGTTGATTTAATTTTTTTCATAATATTCAATTTACTGTATTACAACTTGCACCTCCTGAGCATGGACACATTGTCCTCCCTGGAGATAGCATTCTTCCAGTCATGGCTCATGGACACTGCATTCTACACTCGTTTATCCATGGAAACCATGCAAAAGCCTGTTTCTAAAAATGAGTCTAATCACACTCCAAGAGCTTTGTGCACTCGTGGCAAGTCTTTCCTGTCACCCCAGCCTTCAGCCAAAATGCTCAAACAAGTTTGCATCACCATGGCCCACAGTCTAATTTTCCCATGACATGACGGTTATGTCATCTAGATTGTAGGAGTTACTATTAAAAGTAACAAATAAGGAAAGATTATAATTACTATTATAATCATAATGTTAATAGTAAAAGTGACAGTAACAAATAACATAACAAAAAAGTCAAGGAATAGGTATAGAAGACAGGATGGGCAGTTATTTACCCCTCAGAAACTAAGCACATGTGGAACCATCTCTTTGTAAAATAATCAATAAAACAAATCTATAGTAGTGAATGTGTATATATACTAACAGCTCTCCAGCAATACCTCTAAGCACAAACATACATAAACTAGCATAAAAAAGATGGACAAATAAACTAAAAACAAATATACAAATGCAAAATGACAAGGAAAAAAGGGTGTTATGGGGTAATTATAAAAATATAAACAAACTAACAACCACTTACTCAACAGTGAAGTTATTGGCTCCTACTGGTATGCACATGACAAACTGGAGTGCAGACCACAGGCGGTGGAACTCTGTGCATTCATCTACATTCATTACACCATTTGCAGGTGGGGAACCATGCCAAATGGGGTCTTCCAAGAAGGTCTGTATTCGTGTCAAAATAACCTGTAGGAAGCAAACAAGTAAAGAGATTTGCTCAAGAAAGGAGAAAATCTTTACTTTGCAAGTAACATTTTTTTCTGAATTCAACTTTCATCATTAAAAGAAATACCATTGCAGACAAACCTCAAAGATTGACAAGCCACAGCAAAGGCGCTCTCTTGTCAACAAGTCCCCTTCTCGTGCAATCATGGCTTGCTGCAAGAATGTGGATTTGAAAAATGAAAAAGAACACATTAATTCATTAAAGATATCTTGAGAAAACTGTAAACCCAATGCTTCCAATGAAACTAAAGGTGGATTATATTTTACGTAGAGGGGGCTGAAGGAAGTCATATGTGGCATACTTATTACAAGTATCTTCATCTTGCCAATGGTATCTAAGTGATAAAGGTTATCATTTTCATTATAATTTCTTCTCTGGGAAAACTTTTGAAAAACAATCTCTGATAAACCTTTTTATCTTTAATATAACTGATAAACCTTTCTATCTTTAATACAACTGATAAACCTTTTTATCTTTAATACAACTGATAACATTATACAAAACAAAAAAAAAAAGATCAAGCTCTGACACCTGCAGCATAGTTTACCTTTGCTGTTCCAAGCCTCTCAATGTTGGAGACAATCTGTAAAGGAGCATATTTTGCCTCTAAACGCTTCTGTTTTGTCTCTGGCTTCTCACCCTCTGAAAAATAAAAATAATATATGTATTATGCTCTTCTCAAAGCTTTTCATATCATCTATATCTTAAAAGTTAACAACATTTTATGGTTTGATTTCCTTTATTATTGCAATCTATAAAACTTCTTTCGATAAAAACACTTAACTAACTAAAAATTATACATTTCTTACTGAAATTAAATATCTGAAAACGAGGTCTATCCTACTCATCACAAATAACTTCCATTTCCTTATTTTCTATTCTTTAACTCCTTTATTAAATCTATGTGGAAGCATTCACAAACTTAGGATACTAAAAGTCACTGAGTGATAAAGAAAACATAATACTGTCTGGAAATCAAAGGAGGAAGACTTACATGAATGTAGTATGATGGTGATCTCTGTGATCCATCGTATGAACCAAAGAATGATGAAATAAATGATCATATGTACATGTGCATGCATGCAAGTGTGCGCACACATGCACATATATTCTCTCTCTCTCTCTCTCTCTCTCTCTCTCTCTCTCTCTCTCTCTCTCTCTCTCTCTCTCTCTCTCTCTCTCTCTCTCTCTCTCTCTCTCTCTCTCTCTCCACACACACACACACACACACACACACACACACACACACACACACACACACACACACACACACACACACACACACACACACACACACACACACACACACACACACACACACACACACACACACACACACACACACACACACGTATGCATGTATATATATGCATGTATATATATGCATGTATATATATGCATGTATATATATGCATGTATATATATGCATGTATATATATGCATGTATATATATGCATGTATATATATGCATGTATATATATGCATGTATATATATGCATGTATATATATGCATGTATATATATGCATGTATATATATGCATGTATATATATGCATGTATATATATGCATGTATATATATGCATGTATATATATGCATGTATATATATGCATGTATATATATGCATGTATATATATGCATGTATATATATGCATGTATATATATGCATGTATATATATGCATGTATATATATGCATGTATATATATGCATGTATATATATGCATGTATATATATGCATGTATATATATGCATGTATATATATGCATGTATATATATGCATGTATATATATGCATGTATATATATGCATGTATATATATGCATGTATATATATGCATGTATATATATGCATGTATATATATGCATGTATATATATGCATGTATATATATATATATATATATATATATATATATATATATATATATATATATATATATATATATATATATATATATATATATAATACAAGATCACACAAATAGTCTATAAGGTGGTCACTTGCTACCACTAGCTGACTTGTGCTCTCAGTGTGGAAGGCAGCAAGGTATGGTGCAGAATGTGCTGTGTGGTAAAGTAGGGCTTCATCCCTATGAAAACAGCAAAACCCACCTTTGCAGAATGGGCGTGGCAAAATATTCTGGAACGGTGCAGCTTGCAGCAAATCACAAACTTCTTCTTGAGTGAGTGATTGCTCTACCAACAGGCAGAAGAGAAGAGCATTGCCCAATTCTCGGAAGTGATGGAAGAGGTCTGTGCGGGCATCAGGATACTGCACAATGTCATTCAGCTGGGCATGGTAATAGCCAAGCACACCTGGGAAAGATAATAATGCTCTTAATGAGACTAGATATAGTAGATAAGGCAAATAAAGCTGTAATTCAACTTTTTTCTCCTACTGACACACACTTAATAAAAAGTCAAATCAATACAAAAAGAATCAGTACCACACAAATGATTATTAGCCCAATAATAAAACAACGCTTAATGACTAAAACAGCCTTGGCAGGACCATGAACGAAGAGCCATCCAAAGGAGACCCTAAAGCATACCTGGGGATCCATAATCATATCTGGGAAGCTTGCACTGCTTGGGCATAGCCTGCAGCAATGTCTTTGTGAATTGGTGGATGTTTCCCTGGATGAGTGAGTGGATGATCTCAAGGAGCTCCTGCATCACCACTGCAATACCCTGGTACCCCAACACTCGGACAATGGACCGCAAGTGGGGGGGACCAAGGAAGCCTGAAGGAAAAGTCACAGTATGTGCTTTTTGTCTTACTAGCTAAATTGTAATTCTTAAAACAGTTTCCTGTCAGGAAAAGATTTTTTTTAATGTGAATTCCATGTTAAATACTCTCATCTTACTAGGTTTTCATGTCTGACAAATATTTTCAGTTACCAGGTAGTATCTAAAATCTGAAGATATTCAAAAGAACATCAATAAATACAAAAATATATGACAATAAAGTGATTGACTGAATAATATATACACTATATAACCACAACCAAAGATCTGAGAAAATGCAGTGGAAGGAGACACCAGATAAAAACTTGCCAATCTTATCATACCTGAAAACTGTGAGTAAATTGTGTTGAAAGCTACATTAAGAGCCTTGCTGCCCCAGACCATGTACGGTGCCACATTTGGAGGCTTGTCTCTCTGTACTGGCTGTGCAAATGTAG